AGGAGTGGTTAATTAAAAGGGAATGATGAACGGGTGCCGTTGATCTTGAAAGATCAACGGTCAGGATTAAAAGGATTTTGGGTCGGGTATAGAAATGGGTCACCGGTTGGGTTATTGGGTTAGGGGTCATTTGGTTTGGGCTCAGATGTTGGGCTGGTGAATTTCAGGTAATTGGGCTAGGGGTTGGTCCGATTTTAAATAAAAATGGTCCAGATTTTAATTACCCAATTTAAATTAGTAAATAATTTGTAAAAAATAATAAATAAATAATAAAAATATTCATTTGTGCATAAAAACAAATAAAAATAGTTATTTAACACTATAAAAGTATAAAAAGATTATTTTGGCATAAATAAAGTAATTATAAATACATATAGGCTATTATTGCAAATGTGCAGTTTTAGCCTTTAAAAAATGCAAATATAATTATGAAAAATACGCTAAAAATATTTAAAACCTGGTATGGATATAAATGATGAAAATAGGTGATAAAATCATTATAAAACAATTTGTGAGGTAATTAATGAGTATTTATATAATAAAAATGCAGGAATAAATTGATTTAGAGCCTTTAAAAATTATAGAAAATTATGAAAAATGCTTGTATATGTTTATAAATCAGGTGATGGTGCATATGCACTATTATATATATATACATATATATATATATATATATATATATATATATGTATGTATATATATATATATATATGTGTGTGTGTGTGTGTGTGTGTGTGTGTGTGTGTGTGTGTGTGTGTGTGGAAAATATATGTGTGTGTGTGGAAAATATGAGAAAAAAATTGGGTATCAACAGTATGTAATTGCTTTTGGCTAGATTTGAACCATTCATAGTCGGAAAGTAGAGGAAAAGGTATCTTATTGACTGATTGAGCTTGGTTTGAGGTAAGTGACTTGCCTAGCCTTGTGTGGGGGAAATTCCTTTAGGATTTGGTACTGTTGTGACAATTCTGTAATATGTGAGTGTCGTGTACATGAGATGACGAGTGCATACACAGGCTAATTGTTGAAAAATCTGGTTTTTACTGAACAGTAACCTGTTATATTTTAAATGAGTTATCCCAGCATGTGTAGTTATCATGTTTAGCCTAATATCGCATGTCTACGTGTCTAAAATGCTTATTTGAAATATGTGCAGCATGCTTAGTTGAATTCATGTTTTCCTTGATTTGTATTTAGTCTTTAACTGTAGGATTTCTTGCTATGAATACGTTGTTACATCGGTTTCGAGCTGTGTGTTTACTTTTGGGACTACGAGACGGTACCTCGGGAGATCCCCTGTTGCATATTTACTTTTGGGACTACGAGGCGGTATCTCTGGAGATCCCGTATTGCATATTTACTTTTGGGACTACGAGGCAGTACATCGGGAGATCCCCTGTTGAGTATTTACTTTTGGGACTACGAGGCGGTACCTCGGGAGTGCCCCGGTTGTTTACCCCTATTTGTTGTGTAGTTTCCTCTTTCTGTATTTCTCGTTGTTAAATTCTCAGTCTTTCATTATATTACTATATCTTCTGCCTTAATTATTATATCCCAATTGGGCCCTGACCTGACCTCGTCACTACTCTACCGAGGTTAGGCTTGACACTTATTGGGTACCGTTGTGGTGTACTCATGCTACTCTTCTGCACATTTTTGTGTGCAGAGTCTGCAGACCCAGGTACCTCCTACCAGCCCCGCTATTAGTAGAGAGTACGTGTTACTGATACGGAGACTTCAAGGTATATCTGCCGGCGTCCCCCTCTATCCTTTTTGTTATTTCTTCTTTATTTTCCCTAGATGCTGATGTATAGAGTCAGTTAGAACAATTTTTTTAGAGCTTGTGACTTGTGACTACCGGGTCTTTGGGAGTTGTTTATACTCGGAGTTGTTGGTTTTACTTGTACATGCAGAGTGGTAGTTTTCCAGCTTTATCTATATATATACCTATTGTTGTTAAGGTTTAGCCGATATTTCTGTTATTATTTAAGTTATTCCGCAACCGTTAGACTTAGCTAGTGTTAGAGACTATTTGGTTCGCGACATAACCGGTATTGGTGACCAAATTCTTAATTCTATTTCCGAGATGTATTTTTGGCCTTTTCCCAAGAATCAAAAACCAAAAGAAAACCCTCAGTTTCGTCCCAGCCGCCCTCTCAAATTCATCAGCATCACTCCCAGCCGCACCCACCAAATTCATCCATCGCCGGTACCAAATCTCGCTAAGATTCTCGTATCACCTGCAGTTTCGGCGAATATTTGATTTTCTTCTTCGCTTGGGCCTTCGATCACCTGCAATTTCATCCGTCACCGGTACCAAATCATCACTCACTCTTTTATCCTATCTGCAATCTCTCTTTGCTGATATCTATTTTCTTAAAGATTTGAATGGCTGATTCATAGGCATTACTATAAAAAAGTTTTAGCAGATAGTGCACTGCACAAGGTTAAGAATATTGTATTTGGCTCTGTATGACATACTCTGTGCCTCTTTCGTAGTAGAAATATTTCTACGATTTGACGAAACATTTTTCCTTTTCAAGTGAGAAAAGATGCTTATGAGTTCGTGACAGCTTAAAAGATGCTATAGAATATTTCTACTATTACAGATCTTGGAAAACGTACAACAACAATATACCCAGTATAATTTCACAAGTCGGGTCTGGGAAGAGCAATGAGTACGCAACCCCCCTACCTTATGCAGGTAGAGAGAAAAACGTATTGACTAAAAAATATTCTGCAGCATTGAGTAGCTTATGGTCATGTTTATTTCATTGTCAGTCTCAGAGAACACTTCTATGAGTTTGTGATAGATTAGATGCTGCATAGTATCCATTCTTCAGTGTTTGCCTTAGGATAACCTATCTAAGTACTTCTTGTTAACAACTCTTTTGACAAAAGACTAAGAGATAGTATTCCAAAAGCAATGCTTTACTGTCAATGTGTTGTAATAACTTAGAATTTTCTAGGTATTGTAAAATGTGTATGTCCATTCTTAATATGATAAAGATCAATAAGTTATTTTCTTCTTTGTAGTTGATTAGTCGATCACTGAAAAGGTCATGACCTTTGATATTGTGAAAGATCATAAACTTAGTGAAAGATCACTAAACTCACTGAAAGGTCATGGCCTTTTGGTATTTTGAAAAGTCACTGACCCCTTGTTTTGTTGAAAAGTTACCCTGATTTTTTGAAGAAATGAAGAGCCAATTGACCTTTGAATTGGAGAGAAATAATGAGTTACTTGACTTTTGGCTTTTAGAGAAATGAATAGCCACTTGGCTCATGACCTTTCTGAAAGGGAAAGTCACTTCCCTATAAATAAGGATCCGACTCCTCTCCATTTCTGGTTGTCTCTATTTCTCAAAGTTCTTACTTGAATGGATAACACATATTCCACGTTAATATCAATGGTTTAGATTTAATAAACTAACATTGAATCTTAACTATAGTTAAGATATTCAATATTTCCACAGTTATTGCAGCAGTTTTGGATGATCATTAACTAATATTTTCTTAATAACAAAATATTAGCAATTAAGCCGTCCAAATGTAAAGAATTTGTTTTCCCCCTTCATTTTTTACCACTGAACCAAAATCGTTCCTTGCTATATCAATTCACAAAACTAAGATAATTACAACTTTTTATAAAAATCTACGAAGGTGGAAATATGTAAGCGACCAGTGACAGTCGATTTATTATTTCTTCTAACATCGTCATATTTTCCATCGTATAAAGTAGTTTTTGATTCCATGCTACACGGTGGATCAATTTTTATTGCTAATCTAGAAATTCATATTAATTTCCTCGAAACTTATTTGCGTCCTTGGCAAAGATTTTAACCAGTTTTCGAAAAGTTGAGCTTATTTATATATATGATTATAAAAATTTTGTAATATTATAACGAAAATAGTTTTGAATTATATAAGTTTGTTGTTTTGCTGTATACAATATTACCTATGTAGTAGCTAGATTACTTGTTAATTTAAAATCCCATACATATCAGTTAATGATTATTCGGTATTAAGCTGCCATAAATGTGGGATTGCCAAACGTTAGGGAGCAAATATATAAAATATTTATAATTCTAACTATCGTTAAGACCCAACATTAATTAAGTAAATCTAAATTATTGCTATTAACATGTGGCATGTGTCACACATTCAAGTAAGAACTTGGAGAAATGGAGACGACAAAAAATGGAGAGGAGACAAATCCTATAAATAGGATCCTTTTGCATAGAATGAATGAAGCAAGATTGTTTAAGAGCTTTTCTTAATAAAAGTCTTATCTTTCGTTACCTGATAAAAAAAGAGCTTATCTTAATAGAAGTCTTGCCTTTCTCTTCTTCTCTTCTCCTACAATCTTCTTAAGTATTCGTCTTCGTCCACCATAGTGGTATTAGAATTATGGTAAAAAATGATTCACTTTCTTTTCAATTTCCTTGTCTCACGGAAGAAACTTATGAAAAATAGTGTTTACGAATGAAAGTCATTTTTGGCTTGAAAGATGTGTAGGAGCTTGTAGATTTAGGGTATGTAAAACTCGCAATGAGGAAGTTTTGCCTCAAATTGGAAAAGATGCGTTGGCAAAGATAAGGAAGAAGGATCAGTAAGTCCTCATACTCATTCACGAATACTTGGATGATCCGATGTTTGAGAAGGTGACAGATGCAACCACGTATAGGGAATTTGAGAGATTTTACAAAATCCTTTCGAAGGAGTTGATAAAGCGGAGAAAGTAAAATTTCAAACTCTGAAGGCTATTGTGAATTAATTGAAAAGGTATGAGGAGAAAATAGAAGATGACAGTTGGTAGAAAAGTCCCTTGGCTTTGTAATTTAACACCTTCGTTCTTTAGCGTAAATTTGGTTATGTGGTATGAGCGATTGAGAAGTCTAAAGACTTAGACTTAGACCATGCAATTAGAGACAAAGCCTCTTAAGTTTGAAAAGGAAATTCAAAATGAAGGGGGAGAAAATTATGTTGGACAAAGAGGAATACATAAGAAGGTAGTAGGAGAAAAGGAAGAAGACATTTATTAGGAGAGAATCTCTTAAACTTTCTTGCTTTATTCATTCAATACGAAAGGCCTATTTATAGGCAAATGACTTGCTTTTTCAGAAGGGTCAAAAACCAAGTTGCTCTTCATTTCTTCAAGAGTCAAAGGTCAAACGATTCTTCATTTCTCTAAGAGTCAAAGGTCAAGTTGTTCTTCATTTTTTCAAGGGTCAAGTTGACTTTTCAACAAAATAAGGGACTAGTGACTTCTCACAATACCCAAGGGTATGACCTTTCAGTGATCGATTGACCAACTACTGAGAGAAAAATAACTTACTAAACCTAACCGCTAAAGATGAATATCCACATTTTCCAATACTTAGAAAATTCTAAATTATATTTACAACGCAACATAGACTTCATCTTCAAGATAACCATGCTAATGGAGATATCTTTCTTTTTGTCTTCATGTTGATGATATATTTTCATGGGCAATAACCTAAGTTTGTTTGAAGTCTTCAAGAAAGTTATGTCCCTTGAGTTCGAGATGATAAACGTATGGCTCATGTCAAACTACCTGGGCTTAGAAATGAAGCAAATGGAGAAAGAGATCTTTATTTCTCAAGAAAAATATTCAAAAGAGGTCTTGAAGAAGTTCAATGACTGCAAACCCTTGAACACACCAATGGAGAATGGAACAAAGTTGTCAAAGTTTGATAATGGAGAAAAAGTGGATTCCACTCTTTCAAAAGCGTTGTAGGAAACTTAAGATACTTGGCTTGTTGGAGTAATAAGTTGGTTCGTGGAAGCTCCCACCTCCACTCACTTGAGAGTTTCTAGAAGAACTGTTCATTACCTGAAAAGTATGATTAACTTTGGGCTATTTTATTCTCCTTGTAGTGACTTAACTTTGTGGGATTTTGCGCTAGTGATTTTGTGGGAGATATTGATGATAAAAAAGGCACCATCGTCTTTGTGTTTTTCTTGGTAATTGTGTTATTTCTTTCCGCTCAAAGAAACAATCTATTGTTAACTCTCTCAACTTGTAAGTTTGAATATATGGCAACAACATCTTGTACATGTCCTGTTATTCGGCTGAGAAGATTGTTGAAGGACCTCAACTTGCCATAAATTGAAGCCAAGAAAATTTGTATTGACAACAAATCCGTACAACACTTGCCAAAAATCCGGTGTATCACGATCGAAACAATCATATGGCACAAGGTATCACTTTATTAGAGAATGTATTGCCAAAAGTTATATGAGTGGACACTCCCTTTTTGTTGTAATTTTTGCTATGCGTCTTTCTGATGCCATTATAAATTTCCCTTAATAAAAAAAAGAGAATGTATTGCCAAAAAGAGAAATCACAACATGAAAAATGCAAACCAAATCTAAGTATGGCATTTGGTAAAAGAATGGAAAAATATTATGGGACTTAAATGGTAATGGACAAGGCAATGATTTGTTCAAACTTCCTTATGTGTTCTGTTGTTAAACTTTCTCAAAATTCAATAAGTTGTCCTATATCAGTAAAAGATGACATAGGATGACATTTGTCTATAGCTGTCAACAATGGCTATATTTTAAGGTATCTTGGGTTTGATTGTGCTACTGGAATTAAATGGACAATGCGTACCTTAGGAAAAATATGGGGGACTCACAAGTATAAGGTTAGACATGAGCATTTCTACTTTAATAAAGTAAAGAAGAGGTATTTGCTAATCTTTGTTAATATGTGGATTTTGTTCCATCACTATAAGCAAGGGAAGATTAAGAACCGTTCTTTCTAGGAAATCAACTCACTTTATTCATATCTAATAAAAGCTAGTATTTACTTATATCATATTTGATTATTATGAAATTTTATGAAGCTTAAAGTCACGCATGCTGGTGGTAGTAAGAGGAATGCAAGTAGAGATCGTCAAATGGTGAGTTTCTTTATCGTGGATTATATTTAGGGAATCATTGTATTGTAGCAAATGAAGTGAGTTGGCATTTGACACTTGTTAGTTTCATAATATTTTATTAATGACTTTAGTGGCAAAAATTGGGAAAAACCTATCAGTTGAAGTGAAGATTTTAGCTGCAAGTTAATTATCTTTCTGTTATTTATATTGATGCAGTGTTGCACAATTATATTTTCGTATTAACTACTTCATTAATCATTGATTAAAGATTGTCACTAACTCCAACGTTTGGAGCTTTTTAATTTTTTCCAATTTATTGAGCAGACTTACTATCGTTATCCAATGTGCTAATCACTTTTTCAACTCTAATTGCTGAATACGGATACCAAAAAACCATTAGTGGCAAAAAAGACTAGTCTATTGTCTAGTTACCAAACTAGATAGTAGATGTAATGACTGTTTTATATATAATATAATTTCCCTTTCTACCAAAAAAAAAAAAAAAGCTAGTCTATTGTCTGAAAATGTTACTTCAGTAAAATATACAATGTGGGGAGAGAAGGAGACTTAACTAATGCACTCCCCTTATTTTGACAGTAAGCATCAACTAAGTGTAAGTACTCTTTAGAGTGCGAGCTGCAACTTACTAGATGAAAAGTATACTCTTTTAAATGTTTTGCCTCTTTTAGACCATTAATTTAATGTCAAACCATTTAATTAATTAGTAATGCTAATTCCAGAAAGAAATTGATGACTGATGTATGCTTCAAATTCAATTATGTGATCTTATCTGAAACAAAAGGAAGTCCTTTTTGCTGCATTCAGCCCAGTTGTTTTGGCAAATTGCCATCCATATCAGGGTGAGCTCAATCTCTTTATTGAGGTGTTCTTTTTTTCTTTTTTTTTCCTGGTGGTGAAAGATGGCATAAGGAGATAGTTAGCATTTGAAGTAGACTTAATTGTCTATGAGATGGTTGGCCAAAAGAAGGAAATTATTCGGTGGGGTGTAACAAGGATCATAAGGTATGTCACTTTGTCGGTTTGTTGTAGGTATTGTCAATAGTTCGGAGGGATACTTATTCAAAATGTTAAAAACTGTTGATTTGATTCTTGTAGATGAAGTATCATGATATTTATATAGTTGCTTGAGTACAAGATCATCCTTCTTGTTAGGATAATATGCTTGGTGCTTCAATGATGGAGGTCACACACTCATTGAGGTTACTATAGATTTGTTTACTTCACTGAGATCTAAACTTTAATACCGGAAAGATGTCAACTCTGATTGTTGTAATGCAAAATTCTATATTTGCTATAGTTACATCAGCCTCCTCAAGTATCATTAATAAATATACGTTTAAGTATCTAGTTTCTCATATATAAGTTGTCTTTGAGCTTTGAGAGACATGTCTGTTGACATTCATGCACTCATGCCTTATAGCTCAAACTAGTTGGATAACTTCTTGGAGGCATACTTCAACCACAATCTGTTTTCTGGTCTTTTTTGATTTGGTGCGCCAATCTGATGAATTAACTGCTCTGCAGCAAACCATTTTAATGATCTTGCTTTCTAGGATGTTGAAAAAGAATGATAAGTCTTGCATGTATTCGAGTGTTGTAGCCTACAAGCAGGTGTCTTCTTTGATGGTTGCCATAAAGTACATGTTTTCTTGATTTCTCATTTGGGACTTAGTTTAAGGTCATCACAAACATATATATTTAGTTCTGGGATGCAAGATGCACCGTATAACCTGCTACCTGCCGCATAGAACTTGTTTAAAGTTTAAACCGGTATAGAGCCCCGCATCAATTTTTAAAAATATTATTTTAACCTGCCCTGCACCCTCCCCACCCCACCCCGCATAGCCTTAAACCGCACCGCATTGCATCGGCTCTGCCCCATTTGCCATCCATCTTGGTTGTATTTTAAATCATTGGTTTTATCCAGAAATATTTTTTCCAGTCAACACCGTATGAAATGAACTGAATAGAGGTGCCTTAAAATTTGTTTGTTTTTCTGATTGCTTTTGTGGTCATTGTAAATTTTGTAATGCCAACACTGGTCCCACACTCTTATCTTTTCTGAATTTCACAATACTAAACTCTTCTTATTTCCAACACTACTAACCATCATGTTTTATGTTTTGCTTTTACTGTTATCTCATTGTTGTTACTGCTTCTTTTGACTTTTTCATTACTGCATTTCTTTCTCTATATTGTTGTGATTATGTATGCTTGCTTTGAGCCAAGCGTCTATCGGAAACAACATCTCTACCTGCGCAAGGTAGGGGTAAGGTTGTGTAATTTCTATCCTCTCAAACCCCACTTGTGGAATTACACTGGGTATGTTGTTATAACCATCATGTTTTACTCTGTAGGATAGAATATGTAGGATAGAATATTAGAGCACCTACCTCAAGACCAAGAACATGTTGCTACTTTAGGTGTTTCATCAAAGATATTGGCTCATCCTAATGACATAATTGGGATAGTATTTGGGGTTAAGCGTTCAGGTTGTGTGGTTTAGGTAGTAGTGTTTGTACTGGTTTTGGAATGCCTGGACATTCCATTAGTCATGTGAATTTTGGTGGCTCTTTTAATAATATCTCCTAACAATGTGTTGAAGACCTAGAGAAGCATGTAACCCTGGAAGAGAAAATGACTGGATATTTAGAGACATAGAGCCCGTTTGGATGGGCTTGTTGTAAGTGACTTTTAAGCCAAAAGCCATAAGTTAGGAATTCTAGCTTTTGGCTTATTTTTGTCGTTTTAGCTTTAAAACAAGTGCTTAAAAGCATTTTTTTACGTCATCCAAACACTATAAAATAGCTTAAAAGTTATTTTGGCTTAAAAGTACTTAAAATAAGCCAATCCAAACGGGCTCATAGAAGGATAGCCCGGTGCATTAAGCTCACGCTTTACACGGGGCCGGAGGAAGGGCCAGACCACAAGGATCTAGGAATTTGTCAATTTTAGTAACAACTGGTGCAAAAGTGGAATCAAATAGCAGCTCTTTAGGAGCTAAATTTTTCTCCTCTCAAAAAAAAAAAAAAAAAAAAAGAAAAAAGAAAAAGAGGTTTTTGGAAGCTAAATTTGGTAGTGAGTTTTTCCTAGTCTTGTATGCTTAGCATAATCTTGAACCGTGACGTGATGTTTTCTCTTATCATTTTAATTAGATAGGAGATAATTAGCAGAAGAATTAAATGGAAGTTACACGGAGATGTACCAACGAGAATAACAAATCTAGGACCAAGTCACATAAATAGAATTGATTTGGCATAACCATTTGCCATTTGAGTATATTTGTCATTATGGTAAACGGTACTGGCTTGTGGATTATTTCTTTTGAAAGACAATTCTTTGCCCTTTAATTTTGTTAAGATAAAAAACTAATTTCTACGTAAAATTAGTACTAGTAATGATATATTTAAGGTTTTTTAACATCATTGGCAAAATATGCTTAAGATCTTTGCGGGGACATGACCTTACATTACGGGCAAAATATGCTCAAGATCTTTACGTGGACATGACCTTATCTACGTATGATCATTGATCCAAATCCAGATGGAATCCAAGAGTTTCATAATGAAGTTAATACTTCCCATGCAAATAACCCTACGGATGATCAAAGACAAGGGATCCAACTATCTCCAGAAGATCTAAAGAGAATCTATCACCCATGGAGATTCTCTACCATAATCAAGCTTCAAGGAAAAAAGACTCAATACCACATTCTTAAAAGAAAAATTCAAGAATTGTGGAAAATTAAAGAGAATTTTCCTCTGATTGATCTAGGATCGGAATTCTACATTACTAAGTTCAATAATGAGGAGAGTATGCTAAAAGCTCTTCATAATAGCCCTTGGTTTATTTTTGGTCACTTTCTTTCAGTCCAAAAATGGGTTCCAAACTTCATTGCTTCGGAAGCTAAAATTGCAAACACAGCTATTTGGATTCGTCTTCCTCAATTACCTACTGAGTTCTATGATGGCGTCATTTTAACAAAAGTTGGTAATAAAATCGGTAGATTACTAAAAATTGATGCTTGTATTTCATCCACACTTAGAGGAAGGTATGCTAGGCATTGTATTAAAATCCCTCTTGATGTGCCTGTCACCCATATGTCTTCATTGGATATCATAAGCAAGAAATCCATTATGAAGGTGCAAA